GAGAGAGAGAGAGAGAGAGAGAGAGAGAGAGAGAGAGAGAGAGAGAGAGAGACATGCAGCCAAGGGCCACAGGCTGGAGTCGAACCCAGGCCGCTGCGGCAACAGCCTTGTACATGGGGCGCCTGCTCTACCACTAAGCAACCGACGCCCCTCAGCATTAAGTCCTATTTGTCTCTGTCCTCAGTCTTGACAAGTGTGCTACTATATGCATAAAGTTGGCAGTTCATGGGTCATGTCATTTTTAACAATGATGTCATCGTCCATCGAGATGTTTCACTGCAGACATCATCATACACAAACTTGGTAGACATTGCACAACCCTGAATGATTCTGTCACAATATAAAACAGAATAAACCAGTTTTTGTGTTTTGCATAAAAAATGACTTAAATATTGATGATTTATCAACATGTATTAAATTAATATGAATTAAAATAAATTTCCTGCCCACCAGCTTATTGATTATTCGCCTAATTGTTTTAGCTCTGTTGACAACATTTACCCTCATCTGAGAGAAGACATAAAGCAGACTCTAGAGACTTCCTTATGGTCACAGATCAATGTGAAGACAGCATTTTTTTTTCCTCCTAAATGTCAGAAAATGGCCAAAAAAGACATAATAAATCCCCAGAGCCCAGGTGACATATTCTAATTAATTGCTTCAGCCAAACAGTCTAAAACCCAGCGGCATTCACTTTACTACTATATGTGTGAAGAAAAGCTGGAATCTGAGAATATTCGGTGTTTCCTTGAAAAAGGACTAAACCAGTTAAAGGTTATTAAAATAGTTACCAGTAGATTTACACTGATAAGTCAACTAACAGCCCTGTGTGGCCCAAAACAAAACAATGTAAGTCAAAATCAAATGATAGCTATTTTGTGATCACAGTAAGAAAGAGTAGGTGCATAGTAGGTAGAAGTCATAAGAGACTCAGACAGGACACTGACATACAGAGCAGGGTGGTGCTTCTATAACCTTTGGTCCTGTCAGAGTGCCAGGCGCCAGCTTATTGCTGCTCTTCAGCAGAGAGGTTGTGGGGTTAAGAGGGTCTGCAGACTGTGCACTCTGGACGGTGGGGTATTAATTTCCATGTTGTCTAGAAGATCATGAGGTGCAGTGATCACATAAAGGCTGTAAAAGTGACTCAGAGGAGCAGCTAAGCTCAAGACCAATAGGTCGGCCAAGTTTGGTCAAGCTGAACCAGGAAGTCTTCGAACATGTGGCCGAGCAGATGTTGCTTTTCATCATGTTTTTATATCAGGATGTGCCTGATGGATAATATTTTTCCATTACGGGGGAATGACAGGGTGCCAGTGCCTGAGTTTTATCCACTGCCTTTATTGTCTGATCATGTTTTTAGGCTTATTTGGTGCTTGCAGATCCACCTGAAGCTCAGACAGAAAAGTCTCATCATTCACGGCATAAAAATGTTGTATGAGAGAAGACAATAGAAAGATGTCCTGCCTTTATCACAATAAAGGCCATGTTAAGCACTCTCCGTTGGTACATGTGAATAAATCACTGACGTGTGACATGCGTAGATACACCTGTTTATACTGTTCAGATAAAACTGTAGGACGTAGCATAATAAAACCTGTCTGCCATCATTCATCTTCATTTGTCTTGGTCGAGGTGCTAACGAAAACAGAGCGACTCAGTGAGGAGGAGAGAGAGATGTGGAGGGAGTTCAGTCCAGGTAAGAACGATCGGTGTGTTAACAAAGCTACAGCTTCCACTGAAATCCATGTCTGGAGGAGGGTTTGTTTTCCATGTTTGCATTTGTTGCTTAATAGAATGTGGAGAGGAAAGTGAAATTATGTGCTGTATCCTTCTCAAGGTTGTGAACTCCACTGTGAAGTAGTCACATCCACTCCAAATCCTATTAAGTTTTTCAGATCCTTCTTAACCTTGGCTCTCACCATCTCACCATGTAGAGACACACAATAAACAAAACATGCTGGCATAGGATACATCACTCTTTTGTGATTTCATTTCCTTTTTTCTAAGTTTGCTCTCAGAAGGTCTGGATTGGTACATCTGGAAGTCTTCTTTGTTTCAACACTTGTTGAGTGGGAGTTCTGAGGAACCCAACCAAGCCAGTTGTGCCGATGCAGCAGTGTGATGTAAGTTTATTGTATCAAACCCATTTCTCAGATCCTATTAAACATTGGCCCAAAACTTTGTCTGATGTATTTTCACTGCCCTGCCCTCAAACAACCCTATATCAACACCACCAGCCATGTTTCATTAGCTCAAGTTTGCATTTGTATTACTACCACTTGGGGCAACTGTGGCTTTGATTTAGAGCGGGTCATCCACCAATCAGAAGATTGGCAGTTTGATCCCTGCCTCCTCCAGTCCGCGTGTCGAAGTTTCCTTGGGCACTATACGGTACCCCAAATTGCTCCCGATGGTTGTTCCATCGGTGTGTCAGTGTATGTGAATGGTTACTGAGTAGCAGGTGGCACTATGTATGTAGCCTCGGGCACCGGTGTGTGACTGGGTGAATGTGACATGTTGTGTAAACGTGCTTTGAGTGGGTGGAAGACAAGAAAAACGCTACACAATTGCAGTCCATATACTTGGAGGAGAAGAAACTGGAAATTTTAACTATTCATCCAGTTCTTTCATTTTTGATTTTTTTTTTGCTCTCTTGCTCGTTTTCATGTTATTTCCATCACAGTATGATAATTAATTAAGGTGTTAGAACTCACGCAAAGACAACCTCTTGAGGCAAATTTGTGATAATTGGGCGATATAAATATAGTAGCATTTACGCAACTGGACGTATTATAGCTGGTAGTTAACTGGTCATTGTGACAATAAATACACTAGATACAATCAGGGCCTGGCAATAAAACAATAACGATAATTATCTCTAAATAATTTTCCTTGATAGACATCATAATCTTTGCTCGATAAACCTCTGATTTAATTAAACCACCAATTTAGCCATATAGGGAGGTGGTAATGCACCTTAAACACTGGCTGTCACCCACCATTAACCAGAGGAAAGAAAAGGAAGAAGAAGTTACAGTAAAAGAAGAAGAGGATGAGACCAGTCATCCATCTAATGCTTGTGGTAACATTGTAAGGTTACCTTTCAACACACTCATAAAGTTACTTTTAGTATGATTGTTTTGGTCATGGATAAGAGCACCACACTACCCCACAGTTGAATTGATGAATTGAAACTCATCTAACGGTAAGTTAGCAAGTTACCGTGACTGAGATATTACATCAGAATGATATGACATAACATGAATGAGTGTTGCTAAACGTAACGTGAATTAAACTTTAAAACATCTCCTCGTCCGTGAACAAACTTTCTGCCACAGCAGACGCCTGTCATCACGTCAGATAAACTTTAATTGGCAATGAATGATCCCTCACTAGTTTATGACATCGTCAAATTCTGTCTTTTGTTATTGTTTTGAGAGAAAAATGGCAGACATTACATACAGTGGGTTTAAAACTTGTACAGACAATAATAGCCATAGTCGAGATTTTTCTTTTTATCTGTTTTAAACCGCCTGCAAAAAGAATGTGACATGCAGAATTAAGATTTCTTTACTCAATGTTTATTCATTTATTGTTTCATTTATTGACATTATTTTATTGTAACTGTCTTATATCTACCTCAGGTTTGTGAGATGTTACACTGTTTGACAGGTGTTTGTCATGTTGTGGCAATAAAAAATAAATTAAATCAGAATTAATCACACAGTTTTTTCATCTTCCCCTCAGGCGCAAAAATCAGCCTTTAAAGTTGAAAGAAATGATGATTTGACAATTATGATAATTTCCAATACTGACTGATATGAACATTTTCTAATCATGACAACATTTTATAGCCATATCGCCTAGCTCTCGCAATGTCTCACTTTATTGCCGAGCTTTCGATCTATTCGACCTACATCAGGGCATATAAAAGGGAACATCTACATATCTATATATCAACATACCTCCGGGTTGAAAATCATCCCTATAGAACAATAATTCATCTGCTCACAACTGTGCAACTCCACACACACATAAGCAGATACTGTAAGAAGGCGTGGCCATGCGTACACACCCATGAGGTTGTAAAATCACATTTTAGTGAGGCTGGTAAACATCTGACATTAACAACCTTTTTTTTCCACTGAGTGACAACCTCGTTAACTATTCCATCCCTGTAGGCCTGCTGGTGCAACACTGAACAGTGCAGTGCAAATAAAGGAAGTGGCTAACTGTTTGACAAACAACAAGACAGGTAGAGAGCGTAACAACTGACTCAACTGTCTGTAAACATTCAGCGGACATTTTCCACACAAATTACAGCCTATGGAGCCAATGCCCTCTCTCCTCTCCGCATCAATCACCACTCAAGCTGTTGCTTTTGCCCACAGCCACAATCCATTTTCAAATAACCAGTCAGCTTTGGCTGTTAAAGTAGAGAGGCTAGGTGGTGACAGACGGATCGGCAGACAGCGACAGAGAAGGGGGGGGACGGGGAGATTAAACAGAGAGACACAGTATAGGTAGGCAACAAGCTCAGAAAGTGAAAGTGAGAAACCAGTCAGGAGCGCACTCTAAATGGAAGCCATCTGGCCCGACCAGGGAGGTTATTTGTGTGAAGAGAGGAGAGGATGCAGCCACGCTGGCAGGCAGGCCAGCAGGTGAACACAGTCAGATACAGACAGAGGGATGGGTCCTGCAGCTGCACAAATCTTTGTGTCTGTATCTGTATTTCATATGACAGGAATGACAATTGTGTGGAACAAGCAAGCAGCCAGCATGTCAAGTGAGGCTTATAGAGATAGAGTTTTTATTGTTTACCTGGTAGCAGGGATAAGAGGCGCTGGTTGAAGAGTCTACCTGCAAGAGAGAGAAAAACTGGGGTTAGATGTGAGATACAATGAGGAATCATCGTTAATGTGAATTTCTAAAAATGTGCCTGTGTATGCACGAGTGTCAAAGGGTGCATCATACAGTATATGATTGAATCTGAATAAAACTGCATAGTAATGGTGAAGGACAGAAGAAGAAAAAAGACGGAAAAGCAATGCCAGCCACTTCCAATTTTAGTCAAAGCACTGCCTAAGGTTTTAAATGATCCAATCCTGCAGATAAAAAACACAATGAGAAGTTTATCAGTACGGATGTTCAGGATTGACTTTCATATATCAGCTCTCACTTTCCCCACAGAATAAATTGGTTGTGTTGTCCTGCAGGATTTCTGCAGGACCGGCCGGGGCAGCCTGCAGTGACAGAGAGGATTAGGCCCGGTGCCGATAGCTTCATTTGATTGGCTCTCTCAGTGCAAAGGCCTGTCTGTCACCACGAGTCACAAACCACAAATCCTTTCAAAAGCACAGCACAAATATTTTGGTTTTTATCACAGCCAGCAACTGAGAACAGATTGAAGACAGTGGTGACCATGCTGCCAGACTTGACTTTCATGTCTGCAGCTTCCTAGAGGCCAGACATGTGACAGGCAGAGTATCTTTGTCCAGGAAGGCTCATTTCACAGTACACTTGGGAGATTACTGTGTCGCCTCTTTCATAATCCTAACAGGATTTTTGCAGATTCAAGGATTTGCTACATTTGATACGAAATGTTGGCAGCCTGTTGTCTAGCTTGACAGAGGATTTCTCAGCGACTGAATGGGAAATATGAGTATGCATCATGACTTCATATACATATGTATATAAAATTAGATATAGCAGTTACTGAAACGGAAAGATCAACCATCTCAATGCTGCGTTATCTTTTCTAGCATTTGCGGTCCCAAATATTTACAGACATGGTGAGGATGCATCTTGTCATGACTCATGACGCAGATTAAAGCATTAACAAGTTGCTTATATTGTAGTTTTCTCCCATAACCTCCTCCTCCTCCTCCTCCTCCTCCTCAGCAATAGAGTAAATCTGTCTGACTGACACATCAGCTAATCAACACTGCTGCTGGCTTGATCATATTCTTATTTTGCTTTTTTTGCATGCACAAATTGGTGAATAAAGGGATTTAAAAAAAGAGAAGAAAGAAAAGACAAGGGTTATTTTTGGTTTAACAAATGTTTTATTACTGGTAATATATCTTGAAACCATTTTTTTAATATAAGTATGTGTAACACGTCCCCCTTTGGAAAATAACTACAATAAAGTTGAGATTCTCCATGCAGTTGCATTTTTAGCGTAGATAAATACCGTAGATAGATACCACAGAAAAGCAAATGTACACTCTATGATAACTGTCAATTTTCATATCACAGTACACCTTAAAATCGGTATACTGCTGCAACCCTAATCGTGATTCTGTGAATTTCCACATATAGTATGTCTGTTACCTTTGTCACCACTGATAAAACACACTTCACTTTTTGTTTCTCATTTGAACCACAGTTAAATAAAGCACTCCTGGGAGGGAACGTGTTTAATTCAGAATGACTGCAATGATTTGTACATGGGTGCAACGTGTGTCTGACTGTGCAAAGTCACCACTGCTTGTGTCTTCATGACACCCACCAATGATACTGTCCTCTTTTACTGTCTGGCTGTATTCCAGTCGGGGTAATTAATCACTGAGCCCTTCACCCTGGTCAAGCCTCAAAGAAAATGCTATTGCTCTGATTGATTGTAGTTCCTAATTGCATCTGAAACACATTACCCTATAGTGACTTTGACTGTACTTGTTTTTAGATATAAATTAATTGGCACAAAAAAAACTTATTTTCAATGTGGGTTTTATTTATTCTATGAACAGCTACAGACCATTTGTGACTGTGTTTGACTATTTGTTTGTGTGTGTCTGACCAGGATGAAACACTAACTACTGTCAAATACTTTATGTATAAAAATGGATGTCAAGAGTGCACATGCACACTAGCAGCTCTGTAAGGCTGTGCTTACACAGAGCAATGTTATACTAACGTTATCATGCTCACATGTTCAATGCCAACATGCTGATGTTTTGCAGGTATAAAGTTTAACATGTTTACTATGGTAGCATGCTAAAATTTGTCACCTAGCAGAGGTGTGACCAAGCCATTATTGTGCAAGTCACAAGTAAGTCTAAAGTCTTTGCAATCAAGTCCTAAGTCAACACTATCAAGTCCCAAGTCCTAAACTTCAGCTTTGTGTCCTAAAAGTGTAAAAAATTGGTTCTTCACCAAATGTAATGACATTTAGCAACAGATAAATGTTTTTTTTAGTTGTTGTTAAAACACGTTTGTCAAAAGGTTAGATGGCTATTAAGCTTATGTTAGCTTAGCATTAGCTATATTGCATTCGTGCAACTTCAAATGTTGTTGCCACTCTGTTTGTTTAGCATACTGCAATTTGTTTTTTGTTGATCACTACATACTTTTTATACGCGGTATCATTTTGTTTAACTAGAGCTCATTAACATAACATTTGTTCTTCATTGTTCTCTGCTGTAACTTGATTAAATGCTGTTGAGTTGGTTCAAACAAAGTGGATCTGGGGAATTAAGAGTCACTTTGCTGGTAATGAAGCGTTACCGCTGGTTGATTCAGAAAATGAAGTGAAATTAATTGACTTATGGCACACTTTTTACTTAATGGGTGAAAATATCGAGTATTATGAAGTCAAAAGGCTCAAGTCCAGGTGAAGTCACAGTCGAAGTCTACTTTCAAGTCTTTTTTGATTTTGTCAAGTGGAGTCTAAAGTCATAAAGTTTGTAACTCAAGTCTGACTCCAGGCAAGGTCACATGACTCAACTGCACACCTCGGCTAATTAACAATAATCATATAGTGTAGCTGAGGCTGATGTGAATGTTATTATTTCACTGGGATGTGGTCATGAATCAAAGTATTTGGAAAAAATAAAATCTTGAACAGATGATGCTTTTTTAGGATTTAGGATTATGAACGTCTGTACAAAAGTTTATCCACTAGTTGTCGAGAAATTTCAGCTGTTACTAACAAATAAAACCAAGAGCAGTTTTCTAGTATGGTAGCACCACAAATTGAGTAACAGAGCAGTTTACACCTACAGTAGTGCAGACTCCACAAGGGAGAAGCAATATGGGATTGAATTGACAAAATGCCAGCACCAACGCTGATGTATTCCTGTGTTCATGAATCATTTAGTCATGAATTATTTCAGTCTGAGGATATAAGACGCATAAATACATAATCATAAATAATCACTGAAATAGTACTCACCTATTGTCTGGCTTCTCAAGGCAATGATCCAATAACATACACTCACTCATGACTCCGCTCAATTTCCAATTAGCACTGCGCAACTCCCAAGTTTCTGCAGTTGATTCCATCTCTGATTCAAATTACAATTTATAATTCAGGCTTTTACCCGACGCATCTAATCAGAGAGATTAACAATTAGTGCAACAGTAAAATAAGTGAAAATTCCTCAAGCATCAACCGGGTAAATAGCCACATAATTCAGAGTGCCATGTGGAAGTGCTATGCTAATTGTCACTGGGATGGACTCTTCAATTCCTATTAAACCATAATTAAGAATTTACATTCGAGAAGCAGCATCCAAAAGGCTAAGCTGCAGCCCCTGCATGTGGGAATAGGCTAAACTAATTGAGTCTGAATTATGTTGCATGAGCAGAAATAATGTTGCATTTACTTACCCTCAATGCATAAATCAGTGTTATCAGACTGAGTGTCCTCCATATGAGTTAGCCGTTTCAATAATAGGCTACATACGCTTCTTCAAATGTTCCTACGATATCCCCTGTAAATGTATTTAATGAAATTTATAAATGCTTAGTTCACTGACCGTGACATTCACACTCAACGTTTTTGTGTCTATGTGTTGTGGAGAGTAAGACATAATCAAACACTAACAATGTTAACCAACTCTACCCTCTTTAAGCATCTTCATGGTCTCAGCGAGATTTATAGAGGCTTTTTTGTATTATTGTTTTGTATTAATTCTGAATAGATAATATTTTCCGTGGTTGATATGGTCTGAGATAGATGCACAATAAAACATACCACTCTTCAGCATCTGCAGCATCCACTACTAGCCAAGGATCGTGCTAATTATTTCCACAAGGTTTAAAAACTCCCACAGAACAACTTAAGTGCAATTCAGATAATAAATTGAATTGAAAATTAAGCCATGAGTGAAAAACAGCTGAGCAAAATATGTTGGTTGGCAGCAGGAACTGTAAGTGTAGTATAATGTAGGACAGCTCCAGAAGAGGCAACTTATTTACCCTCTCCTCAAGGGTTCTCAGTGGTATGTCTAATTTTCCTGAACAGGACTGCAGCTTTCAGGCTTTACTATTTGTATTCACAATGGCTAAGATGTCCTTCATCTTTGCTCTCAGACTAAACTAATTTGCCGTCTTTCATGGCAAATTTCCTGCAGAGACCATCCGGTTTCCACAGTAGCTACAGCAGCTGTGGGCGGTTACGCTCGTCAGAAAAAATGCAATTCAATCCCACAGAAACATTTAAAACATTTCTGAATGCGCTTCAGTTATGTAATTATATTAAACAAAGAACATTTGGCCATTTGGGGTTTTTTTCTCTTTTTTAGCCATAAGGAATCTGGATTTCATCTCAGACTTATTTCTCTATTAAATCTGACAATCTGCCCATGAGAGGAAAGGAGAAGGAGTAAGACAGAGGAGAAACAAGACAGAAGTATTTAAGTCTGGCATTTGTTTAGCTGAGTTTTTACCTGATGTGATCTTATTCTTGACTTATCTGGTTTTGCAGTAGACATGTTTAAAGGTTATGGTTATATTACACACTATGCTGCCAGATTATTAGGTACACATCATAGCTACAACAGTGAAAACTGATTCATATGCAAACATTACTTACGCAGCTTATCATACTTATTTCTCTTTGTTTAACATTTTTTATTGGTATTTTAACAACATATTAACTGCTATACAGCATTACAAAAGAAAAAAAAGTATACATATGCACAAGTATACACATATACAGACACCTACATACACATAGAAGCTTTAAAAGAACAGGCAGTTGCAGAAGATGAAGGCCTCAGGAGTGATAATCTAATGTGAATATTAGTTTCTTAAGTTTGAGCTGTTGCATCACTTCCCTCAACCACTGAGTGCAGCTCGGTAGATGTGTTTAGATCTCGAAAGATTCTTATTTTCCTCTCCTGCTATGCCAAAGATGGCTGTCAAAGGATCTGGGTGAATTTTCATTTTAAAAATATCTGATACTGTTTAGAAGATCAAACTCCCACAAGTGGACATACTTATTTCTTTTTGAAAATATGAGAAACATCGTAAAAGCACAAACTACAGCCTCCAGCATTACCAAAGAGTATCATCAGCATCTCTTGGAGTACATGATGAACCTTATTTCTCTCAAGATTTATTGGGTTGTATCTAATGTAGCTAGGGCTGGGTATTGTTGAAAAAACTACGCTTCCAGTACTCTTAAAATAATACCTATACCAACAGAATACTTCATTTGTTACCTTGTTTTCTACTTCATTCGATACCCATTATGTGAATGGAAGCGTTTGGCTGCGTAAAATGCCACCAGACACTGTAATATGCCTACTGCCATACTTTACAACATTTTGGTGGCATCTTGGCATGCTGAACTGCACTCAACATCACCACAGCAGACTGTATGGGTTGTAGCTGCTGTAAAAGTGGGCCAATCACGCGTTGCACTGAACTGAACAATGCCTGCAGTGACTGGCTGCAAGCAAACCACTCAAACAGTCGTTTTTTCTATGTGTAGGCACAAAAAGGATCGAGTGTGGGTATCATTTGACTGGAGAAGTTTCAATACTACTTGGTACTAGGTCATTTTGGTCAATACCTTAAAAGGTATTGAGTACCGATACTAAGCTCTTGGCGTAGCTGTACCAATAGAACTAGAAGCTGGCTATAATGGTGTGTAAAGATTGAGTAATTGCTTGACTGACTGGCTGACAGACTAGTTAGTCAGTTGGTCAAGTGATTTAACAATAGATCAACCATTGTCCGTCACTTCTGAACACCCTCACTGTCTCTGGAATTGAAACTATTCAGCGACGTTGATGTATGAAATGCAGCATCCCTCTGAGCTAAGGATAGCACTGATATAATTCAGGCCTGGGAGGATAACAAGTGAAAGGTCATTCTTCGCGGACCCTGAGGCCTGGTGAGCTGCTGCACGCTGGGACACTGGAGGAGCGCAGGTATGTGATGCCCTGACCTCTGGTGCCCGAGGAAATGTTGGCATCTGGCCACAGTGGCTGCGGGGTGATCGGAGAGCGGCCATATCACTATTCTCATCCACCCACTATCCCTCTGTCCACCCGGGCCTCAACAAGCTCCCGCGAGCCGTAGCCATAGCAACGGGCAGGCCTGCCGATGCCCTTGGGGATCATTTCTTGACAGAATTCCTCGGCGTCCTCTCTCAGTAAAAGGTCTGCCCCTCTGCTGAATGGCTGTTTATCTTTGCAGACGTGTAAGCTTCAGTGTCCCCCGGCTACCTTCATCGCTCTCCCTTCTGTTCAGTTCTTCCTCACCACTTATTTTGAATGTCAAAACTCTAAATTAAGTGAAGAATTTAAAGCTGTAAATCCACACGCCGCAGGGTGAAAACAGACAGACGAGGACGCGTTCCTCTGTTTCTGATTCAGTAACAGTTATGTTTGCTTGTGTAACAATGACGTTGGTGGCACTGCACAATTTTGAGCTATATTTCAGCTTTTTGATTTTTGATCTTGATGTCTACAATAAGACTCAGAATACAACAAAGGCTCTGTGACTAATGGACAAAGTGAAAGTGCAGGCTATTGACAACGGGGATATTTATACAGCCTCCTTGGTGAGGTCAAATCTTGGCTCGTCTGCACTTGAGAAGAGGCACTGAGGAGTTACTGACATTCATAAATGACACACACCTGATGAACAGCTATTCACTGGCGCCTCCTTGAAGATCCAACAGAATGAGCGTCCTTCCAGCAACTGGAGAGAGAGACAGATGGCGGAAAGAGGAAGACATTAGAGGGACAGAAAGACGGAGAATAAATAGGGAGAGAAAGTGCACTGTCAGAATCCATTGGGAGAATCAAAGGAGAAAATAATCATCCTCAATCAAAAACATCTAATCCTTTTTGGAGGCAGAACCAGCTGGTGCAGCGCCGTTTGTCACTGCTGTGCACCTTTGATACAGACAGATGATCCTTTGTAAGTCAGCTGAATGTTGAATACAGAGATTTTTATTCAAATCTAATCTTTTTAAATGATTAGCATAATTGAAATTCAAAGCACACGTCACATAATGGATTTTAAGTCATGGACTGGGCTCAATATGAAGCCTATCTACAATGCATCAAGCCTCATCTGATACCATGATACAAGGTAGAGATCAGTAATGCATCGCTGGAATTGTAAATGAGCCATGCCCCCCCATAAGCCACTGTTATCAGAAACAACAAGTGACAAGAATATGAATCTGAACTACTGACGAATGTGACTCAGCCTCCTGTTTCTGACAGTTTGTTCTCTGCCTGTGGCACTCAGAAAGGTATTTGCTCTCAAGAGTGTATCCCTGTATAATAATCAACAGTGCTGCCGTGCTCTTTCTCTGCGTCCCTCTCTGTTTTAGCCCATCTGCAACATTAACATCACAATCAGTGTCTCATCTTTAGTCAGCAATCACGCGAGTTCCAGATCACAGATATTAGCCTAAATATCTGGCTCTCTTTCCCTCATACAGTCATTTTCATCCATTTTTTTTGTTCAGTCATTTTTCTGCCACAAACACAGAAACCCACGTGCCGCATACACACTCGCACTCAGTCTTTCAGTAATCTTGCTTTCACTGCCTCCCACACAGGCATCTGTAAAAGAGCATGTGTGGTTAACAGCAGTAGCTTGGTCCACACTGGGAAAGGCTGGCAGACTCAGAGACCTTAATGTCTTACATATTCTAGCGCATTATGTTATAGGGCGTTGATAATTGCAGTTTTTCTAAATGCAGGCCTCAAATGTCAGATGCTTTTAGCAACGCAAATGCCTACATTTTTTTTCTCTATCTTGTGCATTTTTTTTTCACTACGACGCAGAACCTTGTGAAGAGCGAAATGCAACTTGTTGACACTGGAAGGCGTCTGAGATTGTAATCTTAAATGTTACATTTTCCACCTTCACATCTATGATTTTATTTTTCTGTGCAGCAATGTTCCAAGTTGTGCTTTGATAAGTTGTGGTTTCAACACAGAAAATACTATAAAAGAGTATTCTGGCATACTGCAGGGAAAGCAGGGTATCTTACCTCTGTGCTTGCACCCCCCTTGTCTCCTCCTTTTCATTGTGCAGGTGAATGATTGCGAAACAGAGAACGGCCTTTGCAGTGCGACCCTGTCCCATGCTGCTCCCTCCTCTCAGGGGATGGCCAAGGTCCAGGATGGACACACGAACGCATGTGACAGGTACACTGTGCAACACATGACCTTGACACTTGCTTTGCTCTGCAAAGAGAAAATATTCCTCATCACTGAATATTCAAGCTTTGCAGTTGTATGTCTCCATGAACCAGTCAGGTTTTAGTTACAGTGTACAATCATGTCTGTGAAAACATATACTTCACACACATCTTTCACAACTACACAGGCTGATTTTAGCGCTGGTCATCGTGGACTATATTGCTGTAAGTGTTCATTTTAGTCAAACCATACAGTTTGACAACGAGGCACAGCTCCAACTAGAAAACAATGTTTTGATGCATTAGTGCGCCGAATGTGCATATTAAGGCAGTACAGGAGGAGGTGCACATTAATAATCCTCCAGGACTGTAACATGCTCATGTTTAACCCAAACAATGTGTCATGTGACTGCAGTTGGTTCAGATCGAGGTCGGATCGAGGTCGCACCAGAGTTCATTTGTAACCGGACCAAGACCACCTCTTCAAGAAGGTCTCGGTCTGGTTGTTTTGGTGCGCACCTGAGTGCAATTGCTGTGTTCACACCTGCCCAAACGAACCTCACTTCGGGGTCAAACGAACTTGAGCTCGACTGAACAACCAAACAGGGCAGGTGTGAAAGCAGCCCCAGTTTCAAAATGAGCATCCCAATTCAAGTATCTGACCACGTCTCCCCTTCTGTTCCTGAGTTATGACGTTGTGTAATGGCCAGCCGCAAGGTCACGGTGTCCTTAACCTTTAACCACCAAAATCTAATCAGTTCATCGCTGAGTCCGAGAGAACATTTGTGCCAAATTTGAAAAAATTCCAGAGACGTTTTTGAGACACTGCATTCACAAAAATAGGATGAACGGACACCCTGAAAAGGCCTTGAGCCACAGCTATTGCCAGTGCAGAGGCATAAAAATGCATACTGATATTTACTTGTCTTATTATTTATGAATGTGTGTGTGTGTGTGTGTGTGTGTGTGTGTAATCTGCAGCTCTGAAATGTTAGAGGAGAGCCAAGATGGTATGGACAGTGGTACCCTAAGTCCTGCCTCAGCTCGACAGGTCACCATCCAACGCCACCCAACTCAAGGCTTCGGCTTCATTGCAGGCAGCCAGAGGCCTGTCATTGTACGCTCCGTCTCTGCTGGTTAGTGTGTGTGTGGATGCGTGTGTGTGTAAGTGAGACAGAGATCCCATGATGATTCAAATTAAAGTCTCCTTTTCTTTTTTCACTGCACATATATGACTTTGTATGCCTGTGTCTGTGTGTCCCATCTGATCCGCAGACGGCCCCTCCTTTGGCAAGCTTCTCCCCGGAGACCAGATCTTGGCTATTAACGAGGAGACGGTGAGCGACGCGCCCCGAGAGAGAGTCATAGACCTTGTAAGGTAACATCCTTTACTGTCCCAGGAGGGAGGGAGGGGGAGGGGGGTGGGCCAGGGGACCAGCAACACGGGCAAGTGGAAGTAAAGAGGACATGGGTGAAGAGGATGGATCAAAAGGAACAAACTGTTTATTGTTGGCAGTGATGCGTTACATCAACACAAACCTGGGGATCAGACAGTCCTTTTGCAGCTGAAGGACAGTGAGGATATGGCAGATATAAAGCGGAGAGGATCTCCAAATACCGTGCTGTCCGTGGCGTTATCTAACCCACTCCGCTCTCTGTTGTCTTTCCATAGACGCTGCAAAGACACTATAGTTCTCACTGTGCTGCAGCCCCATCAGGTAGTATAATAGGACACTCACTCCCTTTCATGTTTCTCTCCCTTGGGATTTCTCTTACTCTTTATCAGTCTCAACACTTTCACTGTCACTCTGAATCATACAGAAACACTGTACAGTATTCTGCTCCAACAGTGCACACTAATGCAGTGCAGACATACATTAGTATTCATAGCCATGCCTACACATTAAGGTAAAGTCTTTTTCTGGTAACCCCTCTCACAACAGCTCATATAGGCCCATAAACACATGCATGAGACTTTATTAAATAAAAATCATGTGTGCATCCATCCATATGGAGGAAACAGACATTTATTTAGCCGACTAACTGAGCTGGATATTTTTAGAAAATGAAATACTGCTATGAAAATGCAAATGGATTCAAACCTGATTTATTTTTCTTTCTCATACTTTGGAACCTCCTATATTCGTATGATTTATGCAGCAGTTCTGCAGGGATTTGCCTATGTGTCGCCTCCGACATCTTTATTGCACTCAGACCACCAAGCACAACAATTTAAAAAGTAGTAAAACTTTTAGCAGGTGAATTTCATGTTGAAAGCAGGTGTGCAGCTGACGCATTGCAGCAGCATTAGCCGGCTCTCCAACACGCGTCTCTTTAGCACTGTCAGTCACAGGGGTTTTTCTTTCATTTCCGTTTTTTCTTTCAAGCTGATTCAAGGGTTCCTCTCCCTCTCTTCTCATCCTCAGTCACCTAAGTCTGCCTTCATAAGTGCAGCCAAAAAGGCCCGCCTGCGAACCAATCCGCCTAAAGTGCGCTTTTCAGAGCAAGTGTCCATCAGCGACCCAGACTCAGTAAGTTCAACTAGTCGTGTCTCTATGTGGCATATGCATGCAAACACATGGTGTTACTCTGTGCCCCTCTCTCCCGCTGTGCATTTCTTTTGTTTGATCAGCAATGGTAAAAGTCTCAAGTATCCTCTCTTGTGTCCTCCTATTTCAGTCTGAGCTTCTTTACTGTGTGCATGTGTGTGTCTGAGCCTCTGGTCCACTGGTTTGGCCTGGAATAAATTGCTTTCCTGAATGATGTGAATTCTCCAAGGAGCAACCTGAACCTCTTTTCAAAGGGATTCCCACATTTTGAAAACAGCTACATCTCTTAGACATGTTGAAATGTTTTGGGGATGTTAATGTCAGTTCTTACCTGGTAACACATGGCAGGGCTATCATGTTCCCAATTTTCTTACTTGACTAAACATCAGCAGGCCACTGATATATCTGATGTGGCTTGGGTTACATTATTTCACATTGTGCAACAAAGACTGGCTCTCTGGCACATGTACAAGGCACAGGACTGTACACAAATTAATTGCTAGGGGGCAAAGAAGGTCAGAGAAAGGAGAAGCTTCTGTACCCCATATTTCTCTTTATTTCATATTTTATATGTGATTTATATCATAATAGAGAGATCAGATAGTTACATCAAAAAGATGGGGAGGTTTTTGCATCGTGCCATATGTAGAGTATGTGGGGTGGGATGAAAATATTGTCGTGCACAAGCCCTTCATCAGAGTTGTCACCTGTTCCCACGCGTTTGGTAGCTATATTAACAGTTTATTTCACAGCTTTTTATTCAGAATATATTAGTTTCAAATATTGGGGACAGAGGGTATTGTAGTTTTTTCCTAAGTGAAGAGGAAGCTCCAAAGAAAACATTAACAGTATGCTATAAAGGATTTTCCTACAAATAAAAGTATAGGAAAGTAATCCCTCTCAATCATCACTTATGACCTACTAGAAGTATGTAGTGGAGACGCTGTCTCCTGCCTGTATTTTCTTGTTTCCTTCGTATTTTGTTGTGCTCAGGATGTATCTGGGCACAGCATGCAAGTGAAGTTGGGACTTTTTAAAAAGTCAGGGACTGGCTAAGGGAAGATACAAAAATTAGAGCGACACAGTGCAGAAAAAATGCAAATGTAGGAAGGCAAAATGCCAAGCGGACAAAGCTTTCACTTCTACTGGTGATACTGTAGCAATCACTACAATCAGTAGCTGACAATTCCTGCACAGTATGCCTTTAATTTCACTGGGCCTTCCATTGTTTTATAAAATGAAATATATAATTCAGCACCCCTTCTGACAATTATTTCAGTACTGTCCCTAATTTCCTGTGGTTAATCAAGGATCTAGGGAGGTTAGGGTTGGGTGGGGGGGTTTACACTGCAAATAAAGTGGGAGCACAAAGATGATAAGCAACGGACAATCAATAAAAAATCAGAAGTTGGAGCGCAGGGCATTTCATCATTCTATTTTCTATTTACCCTGAACTCAATGGAAGGAGGTAGAGAACAGGATTGCTCATCACATGGACCACCAGGTCTCTGATAACCTTTGGACGAAGCCAACGCGGAGTGTTAGGCAGACAGCTTTGAACTCGCTTTTCATTACAACTGATTTAACCATCCACTCTACCCTGGCAGTGCTGGTGATCAACATCATGTGGACCCTGAGGTTTCCTTTATGAGATCTAAATTAAGGTGTTCTCCCAAACCAGCAAAGGCCATCAGCTCTATTTACGGCTTGAGCTATACTGTCAAGGAGCTGAGCTGGGTCTTGTCTCTTGGGGGCCGTGTCCATCGAGGCTTTTTTTCCTGAGGCCAGCGTATTTTTTTATTTGCAATGGGAGCGCAACATATTTCTGCTAAGCTACAAACACCAGCAGCATAACAAAGTGCAGATCATCTATTCTGCACTGAGCACTGCACATTTAGCATTTCTTTTTATGAGCGCCCAGAGCTGAAAAATGCTCGACTTTGTGTAAAATGCTTTGCTCGTCACTGTCACTTTTTACCCAGCTGCCCAATCACAGTGGTGCAGGGGTGGAACAAATACTATAAAGACCAACTGTCATATCTTACAGGTACAAGTGTTGAACAACAAAAATAACAACAATGGAGGAGAAATGTGTTAACATATTATATATATAGCAATATATGTTTCCTCATATGGACCCACGCTGGTACTGTTCTAACCCCCTGTGTGCTTCAGCCTTCCCTTCATCCAGCGAATGGGCAAGAGCATTCTTTAGGATTGCCCTCTGACAATTGAGGATTCAAGTCATGAGTTGGAGACTGTACTTCGAGGGACAATTTGGTCCTCAGAAGTAGCTGTAGAGTCAGTGCTCTTTATTTTCACCCAGCTCTCTGGGCTTAAATCATTACACCAAGTGGAGTTGTCCCATCGGCTCAGAGAAGATGTCCGTGATGGGTACAGGCAGCTGCAGACCCAGACCCAGGGTGAGGTTGAGTGAGAAGGAGACAGCTGCGCGGAGGTAGAGAAGCTTAGCCCAGTCAGGCTGTGAGATAATGTC